ACCAGTGTGGAGTATTTAGTGGCATCTAATGGTGTAGTTGTGAATTGCAACTCCCGCATTTCACCATCCCCTTCCAAGCATGAGGGAGAAACTACGATGGTCACGAAACACGTGATAGATATTTCACTGGACTGATCAACCAACCAACAGACACCAACAGACACTGCCAATCTGGAGCCAATGCCGCTAGCCTGGCTAAAAAAAAAAAAAAATCAACAACACTTATCATGAGCCCTCTAGAATATAGAAAAATTACTTCTTCTAAGTTTTTATTTTTATTGTAGGTTTTAAAGAGCAAAAGTGGATTACTGCTCAGATAAGCAATTTATTTATGACTTATTTTATCAAGAAATGGTGTAAAATTTGAATGAACAATTGAAAAATATATCTTGTAAATATATCCTATTATATAAGCTCTTCATCAGAACAGAAGTTTGGGATATGATATGTCTCGGATGGAGGGGTAATAACATTCACCAAACCCAGAAAACTGATCTGGTTCCTCTCTCTTCCCCATCCAGTTCTACCAAATGGTCTGCTTATGCAAGCAGTGGATTGGACAGGATACTGAGACTGCAAGATGTACTTCATTTCTATGAACCGCCTGCTCTCTTTCATTTTCCATGCCGGCTGTTGGATGGGATTTTGAATTTAATTAGTGTTGTTTTATTTAAATGAGTCAGACACTCTATCTGTATGACAGGGATGCTTGAAGAGCTGTAGTTTTGCTGAGTACCTCCATGGAAATACATAACGTTTCTTTATATTATATAATCAAGGCAAGGCAAGCCGACCATTGATTATATAATATGTAAGCCAAATAAAAGTATATCTTGAAGGGTAACAGTAAAAAGGTGGTGCTAATTTCTCTTAAATGTATTCATAAAAGAGACTGCAAAACATGAGGAATATTACAAAGTTGTACAATTATGTTTTATGGAACAACATAATCCCCCAATAATCATCAATCAAGAAATGGGTGGTGAATAGGTGCACTGGCAAAATACAGTGGCTAAAGGTCAGCTAGGGAAAACATAATCAACAGAAAAGAAGTTACTCCCCTGTAACTGGCCAAAATCCAGTTCAAACTCAGTGTGTGTCTGCATTTTAAGTGCAATAATCATTCAAATCAGTGATGTTGACTACAGTACTGTACATCAGCAAAGAAGGTTAGGTTGTATAAGGTTACACTAACAACACACAGTTCATTGTCGGTCGTGATGAAGCACTGATTGGCTCAGAATCTGATCGAGTTTGCTCCTGTTGGCAACAAACACAGCATCACTGCCCCGATTTAGCAAAACACTGAAGTCTGTGTTGTTAAGATTAGGTAATACCATGGTGCTGTAATGCACTGGGACTAGTCAGCCATCCCTTTGAGCAACAACATTGACTGTCTATAAAAAGTGTTTGCCAAAAATGGCACCAGATTAACTGTAAGGGGCTTATGTGACTTATTTAACCTCACATAGCCAAAACTGGAAAAAGAAAACCCTGGCGCTGCATGACGAGAACAGAAAATAAGATTAGGTTTTGTCAGTGTCTTTATCCTGTGGTATACAAAAATACAGACCTGACATACATCACATAACTATTACGCTAACCTTAAATCTGTCTTTGCCCCAAGAGGTCTGTGAACAGATGCATGGATACACAGTCAGTATTCCTTTAGCATTAACAGATCATTCAGTTGATTCATCAAGGCGAGAAAAAAACACTTGTAACTAAATGTTCAAGAGGTTTAAAGCTTTCGGGCAGAACTGTTTAATTTTGTCTTATTTGACCCAGATGTGGTTTTGTTTGCCCACTGAAGCGCACAGAGGCTGTATTAGAATTACTGTAAATGCCAAAAATAGAATACACAGAACAGAGGGTAATAGAAGGACTTTTTCCTCTATCTTAAATACAACAGTTTTTTGTATCTTGATGACAGAGCTGCTTGAAGAGCTGTTGCTGTTTTGAACACAACCTGCATAGAAAGGCCTCACATTTATTTGCTTTGTATTATACTGTTATGCATCAGCTGCGAGTCCAATTAGAACAGTGATGAAGTTTTGTTTTAACTGCTAAAAGGTAGCATCTCATTGGACAAACCTTTTAAAAACCTGCGGCCCTTTGCTGCATGTTGCCCCCCCCCTCTCCTCT